CGCACCCCGGGCAGGCGGGTGGGCTAACCACAGTGCCTGGCGCGTCGGGGTCCCCCCGATCCTGCACCCCCGGAGCAGCAAGAACAGACCCCGCCAGCCAGTAGACCAGAGAGGGGTTATTGCTTCTCTGGGACACAGCCCAGCACAGACGGGACGTGGCTACAGGAGTCAGGGCCAAGATGCCTCAGACCCTTGGGGGAGGGGATCCATCGCCCCCTCAGCACCCAGCTTAGTCTGTCCCAGCCAGAAACTGCCTCGCACCCAGGCCCTGCCCCCAGCCAGGTGGCATCTCCCCCTCCCTCCCTTTGTCTCTCCCTCTGGGAAGCGCTTTGCTAACTGCTCAGGCTGGGCCGAAGTGTCCGGGCCAATCCACAGGTGGGTGAGTCCGTGGGAATCGCACCTCCCAGCGCAGGGGACCCGGGTTACAGAGCAGACCCCCCCACTAGTCACACCGGGCGAGTTGGCCGGAGAGCACGTGGCCAGCCTTCGAGCTGACACGCCAGGCTGCGGCTCTGGGGGGGCTGGCCTCGCCCAGCGGTCAGAGTGCTTAGTGGGTCAGCAAACCCATGGCCAAGGGTGAGCCGGTCGCCCTGCCTGGGCGCCGTGGAAAGGCCCCTCTCCAAAGGCTCCGAGACAGAAGCAGGCGGTCGGGGGCGAGGAGCGGTCGGGACAGGAGCCGGCTAAAGGCCAGGGACGAGCAGGCAGGGTTTTGCAGTGGGCCGAGGTAGGAGCAGGGTCCTTCAGGGGTTTGTACTGGGACCAGCGCTGGCCCGTGGATTCATACGGGGTCTAGGAACAGGGCAGCAGCGAGGGGGCCAGGTCTGGCGATGTTCCTAAATTCCTGGAGATTGTCAAGTCAAAGGGCTTAGACAGGGACTGGCAAACCTCGTCCCAACGATGCAGAGAAAACGATGGGTCCCAATTGGCTGCCACCACTCAAGGGAAATGAAAGATCGGGGCGCCGTGGGGAAGGGGGGGGGCTCTAAAGATCTGCTCCGTGTGCAGTCGAGAACAGAAGGTTGGGAACCATTAGGAAAGGGACTCCGAAATATACCGTCCCCAGGAATCCATGGCACCCCATGCAACGTCCCTTCTAATCTTTTCCATCCATGTGTGGAATAAATGTGATGTGCGCTGTGCACCACCCGCAGAAACAGCGGCCGCGCGGTGGGCGCTCTGTTATAGCTGGGCGGCATCCGCATCTCCCCTGAGTGGCCGGCGAGCATCCAGCATCCCGGG